TGGTAGGAACTATGGAACAAATGATGGAAAGGAATCGTAATTGATGCAACTGAAACAACTGTGGTAATATCATATGTGGCTGGTCGTGGGAAATTATCGATGTAACTTAAATTGTACATTGGGTTGTTGAATAAGATGGAAATGGCATTGATGGTTATGGAAATCCTTTGAGAATTGTGCTGCTGTTCCTTGAGAATTGTTGTTGTTGTCATTGAGATTTGTTGATGTTGTTCTTGAGACTTGTTGTTGTTGTCCTTGTGAATTGTTATTGTTGTGGTATTGTTTGTGAATTGTGATTGCTCGGTGGAATCGAGTTGCGCGCCGCAACACGAAGTAATAAGGTATGGGTTGTGGTGATAAGGGTGGCCGAGGTAATAAGGGTGGCCGAGGTAATAAGGGTGGAAAGTGATCGATATCACTATTGAAATGAAATATGAGAAAATTGTGAAATTAATGATGTGGAAATGATGATGGGGAAAAGGAGAGATTGTTAACTTGTTTGCCTTGATTGATTCCTTGTGTGTATTTAATTGTTGATTCCTTTATTGTTTGTTACTTGTGTATGGTTTGAGGTTACTCAGGGCAAAGTTTGTTTATACATACCACTACAATTCAAATATACTGACGTCCCTTTTGCCAGGGGCGCTACATTCGTGTTATGATTGTAGGTGGATCCGTAGCAGGTACTCCAGTCCACCGATCGTAGCTCCCCTTCGTTTTCCATCAGCTGTTTGGGTGAGCCCCTTTCCTCTCGGGGCCCTGCATGGCTCAGGCCGCTTTATTTTCGGAGTTTTATTTTGGTTTTATGTAAGGTATAGCCGGAGCCTTGTTACCGGCAAGTACTGTATTATCCGGTCGTATCTATAGAGGCTCCGTAGACAGTAGATGTGGGTTATGAACTTATGTAAATCCATGTTTTACATGTTAGGCAATGAAATGGTAACTTCATTTATTACTATGAACGTATGTATGCTTTGTAAAAAGCGTACTTAAATATGTATGGCTAATTCTTGGAATATTGAGTAATGAAAACATGGGGTAACACATGGGATAGGAAAGGCACCCAGGTTCGCTTGACTGGGGCTACCCGGTCAGGCGCCGGTCATGTCCCTCGGTTTGGGGCGTGACACTATGGCCATAAAACAGATGATTGTAGATATCTAAGGGGGAAGTAGCCCGATTGTTTTACGAAGGGCACCTTCGGGAATCCTTAAGTGATCGGGCCAAGAATCACTTCAAAAATAGAGATTCAAATAGACAGAACGAGAAAGAAGAGCCACAACACTTGATTCACATGATCGTTGGAGGGGTCAATATTCCTCAAGGACTAGTATTTAAATGTACCAAGGTGTTGATCATAAGGGAGAAGAGAACTCGGGATTACTTACCAGAAGGGACCTTGTCTTTAAATGACGAGGATGCAGAAGGGATCGAACAACCCCACAACGACTGGTAATATCTGTACTTATGAATAAGACTCAAGATAAACGTGTTTTGATTGGTCCAGGTAGCTCAGCCAACATAATGCGATCGAGGGTCGTAGAACAGCTCGGCCTACAAGATCAGGTTGTACCCGCGACCCGAGTTTTAAACGGCTTCAATATGGCATGTGAAACCACCAAAGGCGAGATAACTTTTCTAGTAAACATGGCTGGGACCATCCATGAAACAATGTTCCATGTGATCGAGGGCGATATGAGGTACAATGCCTTATTCGGGAGACCGTGGATCCATAACATGAGGGCACTACCTTCGACCCTTCACCAGGTTCTAAAGTTCCCAACGCCAGAGGGAGTCAAAACAATCTACTGGGAGCTACCCCTCGCCAAGGAAATGTTTTCCATTGACGAACTGATACTGATATCGGGTTCTCATCAATGAAAGGGTCAAGTTCGAAGGGAAAGCAGGAGGTCAAATAGCAACCACAGACACCAGCCTCGACCCAATCGGAGAAGTATGCGATTGACGAGGATGATAACTATGGGGTCCCTCGATCGTTCATAGTCACCGATGATTCTAATGCCACCAAATTGACGGTTGAAGAGATGGAGCAAATCACGTTGATCGAATATCATCCCCAACAAGAGGTATACACAGGTACGGGGCTAGCCCCCGAGCTTAGGGGAAAGTTATTCAATTTCTTACAACTAACATCAATTGTTTTGCTTGGTCGCATCTCGATATGACAGGAATTCCACCGAAAATTACCACTCATAAACTAAGCCTGGATCCGAAGTTTCATCCGTTAAAGCAAAAAAGAAGACCGGTCCGAGGTCAAACAAGATTTCATCAAAGATGAGGTAACCAAACTTCTTAAAATGGGACCCATCCGGGATGTCAAATATCCCAAATGGTTAGTGAACGTAGTAGTAGTCCCTAAGAAGGGGAATGAACTTAGAATGTGTATTGATTATAAAGACCTAGACAAAGCATGCCCCAATAATTCCTTTCCTTTGCCTAATATCGATCGCATGATCGATGCCTTGACCAGCCACGAGATCCTTAGTTTTCTCGATGCCTACTCTGGGTACAACCAAATACAGATGAACCCGAAAGATCAGGAAAAGACCTCATTTATCACTAAGTACGACACCTAGTGCAATAATGTAATGCCTTTCGGATTAAAAAATACTGGTGCAACTTATCAACGCCTAGTAAACCGGATGTTCGAATAACAAATAGAAAAATTGGGAGTCATCTCCAGATGTATACAAGATTGTTTACTGTAGATGGTTTATGGGTTGTAACAGGATGCTGTGTGATAAAGAAGAAAACAAATATGTGGAAAGTGGGTAAATATATTAGCACCCACAATTGTGAAATGGACACATTTAGTGGGAATCAATTCAACTTGGATGTTGATTTGATTTCTCTTCTCTTGATTCCACACATTGAAGCGTCCATACAGTACAAGATCAAAGAGTGTATTACATCCGTCCACCAGTAATATGGGTGTACTATTAAAAAAATAAAAGGCATATCTCGAGTGCAAACGTCCATTTGAAATTGTTTATGGTGACTAGGATAAGTCATTTGCATCTCTACTCAGGTACATGGCCGCATTGCAACTCTTTAACCCGGGGACTGTTGTTTAATGGAAGCTTTAGCGGAGTGCAGGAATACCGGTATATATATATATTCAGATACGTGTTCTGGGCATTTAAACCATCAATTGATGGTTTTGTGCATTGTCGCCCGTTAATATCCATAGACGGCACTCATGTCTATGGAAAGTATGATATTAAACTGTTGATCGCCGTTACAGTAGATGCCAATAGACAAATATTTCCCCTAACATTTGCCATCTGTGCCAATGAAAGCCAAGAGATGTGGACATTATGTTTGAACCACTTGAAGGAGCACGTTGTCAAATAACGTTCAGGTATTTGTCTAATATCTGATCAACATAGGGCTATATTAAGTTTTGTAGAGCATTTGCCTGAATGGAAGGAACTGTATGCATACCACCGTTACTGTGTGAGGCACCTGAAGGCTGATTTCCAGAAGAAATATCCCAACAAGCACTTACATGATTTAATGTGGATGGCTGCAACTCATCACTGGGAGTGCGAACTCAAGAGGCGCTTGGAATAGATCCGGCAAGAAGACGAAAGAGCCTATCATTGGTTGATAGGACATGAGCTTCGCAAGTGGACATTGCATGCAGATGGTGGCAGACGATGGAGAACCCTGACTACAAATGTGTCAGAGTCTTTCAACGAGTTATTGAAGTCTGCACGTGGATTTCCTATCACTGCCATGGTGCGGATGTCATTCATAGAGATGTCAGAGAGGTTTGTTGATAGGCATAGAGGTGTTTTGGAATTGATGGAGATGGGTGTTGAATTTATGCCAATACTAATGAAAATATTTGAGAAATACAGGAGGCGAGCACATTGGTATTCATTTTTACAGTACTGCGATAGACCAAACTAGCGAAGGACTCGCTCGGTGGCATGATGCTCGACAATATCGAGATATATCTACGGGACAAAAGAGCTCCGCATAAGTTGCCTGGTCGAGAGATAACCGGGAAAACTAGCTATAAGCGCGTCGCTGTAGGGCGACCAAATGAACTATCACGTAAAAATGAGAACCGTGAGTATACACAACACATATAAATCCAGGCCAAGTAAACTTAAGTATAGAATTACCTACGCGCCCTCCAGCAAATCTAACTAATCTCTGCAATATGGGAGATTATGTCGAGCCTCGTCCTCGCGTCCGTATCCCCGCCTCTCAACCCACATCCTTGCCAAAGGAGAAACGGTAGAGGTAGTGCATCCTGAGCTATGGGTGGTAGAGGTGGTTGCAACTGCAGGAACCACTTCCAGGCCCAAACCTAATATACAATTTGGACGTAAAATTTAAGCTATAATTTTATGATGTATGTTATAATGAAGAGAGTATTTGTCTATGTTTTCACCTGCAATAGTGGCATAAATCCTGCAACGTCACGCTGGGTGCCCATGCATGCCCAGCTCATCTGCCCGTACAAGTAACCAAGAACAGCAGCACCCCAACTGTACTGAGGTAAATCGTCTAGCAACCCAAGATGATGAAGAAATCTCAAGCTGACTAGGTTCCTGAAGTGTTCGGAAACAATACGTCTCCAAACATAAGTAGTTTAATTGCGAGTACCACATGTGCCATTTGGCAAGCAACCACTACCTTCACTCAAGTATTACATAGCATGTTTCACTCAAAATAAAATTTCTCCTCACAACTCTATATTATATTTGAGTGTAGTAATAATAAATTATTTTTGAAGGGGAACGTTGGTAAAACTGGTAAAATTGCTTCTATGTGACTCGGAGTGCACGGGTTCAAGCCGTTGAAACATCATCTAGCAAAAATTGCAGGATAAGGCTATTTACGATAGATTCTTATTGTTCGGCCGCACCCCGCACATAGCGGGATCTTTGTATAGTTAGCTCAGTGTAATAATAATAAAATAAATAACTCATCACTATTACACTCACTCTCAAAAATTGCATCTTTTGTGCTTACGCACTCCTTCACCGAGAATAACCTCTCTTTTCTGTCCCTATCTATATTTCATCTCCCATCTAACCTCTCTTTCTCCTCTCTCCCCACCCCCCTCCACCCCCCCCCACACACACCATGTAGCATTGTGTGTTTTCCTGAATCTGGATCCGTTCTTACCTTGTAAACTTTGCATTTTTATCAAAGGTAATTTGTTCGTTCTTTGCCTTTATTTTACAGTGTTTTATCTTCTATTTTGTTTCCAGTAGATTTGTTGTATCTGAGTTTTGTAGAAATTCTATTTTCATGGTTCATTTAGTTGGATTTTGTGCAAATTGGTACGCTGCTTTTGCAATGGAGTTTATGGATTTCTTCATTAGATGGTTAAATGGATTTCTTTATTGGGTATCAGATGGTTCTTTAAATTGGAGAATTTGGAATTGGGTCTTTGGCATCTTATGAACAGAATTTAGCTATTCCCTTTTATCCTTGTACTGTGAGTTCAAAATAGATATAATTATCATTTATCTTCTTTTATCTGTCTAATCCTCCTTTTAATCGCTAAATTTTTCCTTCTATCACTGAGTGTGCAAATTTTTCTTGAACTACATATCCATATAGACTAGGTAAAGCTCTTTTTCTCTGTGGTTATGATTCACGTATTTCTTGATTTTATTCTGTTCTTGGCTCAACATGGAGTAGTTGTTTTTAATTAATTAGTATATTTTTCTCTCTTCCGTCAAGTTTCTTAGATTTAATTTTGGATTTATGATGATCTTTCATTTGATACTTATATTGGTTGTCCTAAATGGAATGACTTCTTTCAAGACTTTTCTGGTTCCAATTGAATAGCTTTCTGACCAATAACATTTGGCGTGATGATACCTATAAGTTATTCAAGTGGCTCAGTTTCTTTTAGAAGCTTAATGAGCTACAACTTTTATGTTATTTTGTTTTGGGTCAGGATAGTAGTCAAGAAGACAGTGTGAGCAGAGTAAGCATGTCAAGTGACAGTTGCACCCACTGGTGTCATAGTTGTGGGCAACCCGTGAATGTCGTAAATGCCGTTTGCCCCAATTGCCATGGTAGTTTTGTTCAAGAGATCGATGACATAATGAGTAGTAGTGCAGATTATCAGAACCAGAGGCCGAGATTTATGGAATCTGTCTCAAACTTTTTAAGACGACAAATCTCTGCTAGAATTAATATTTCTGAGAGAGGGAGATCTGATGGGGGTGCTGAACAAAGAAATTTGTGGAATCCCTTGCTGATTTTCAGTGGTGATACGCCTGTTCAGATGCCTGGGGATGGTGGAGTTGTGGAGTTTCTTAATGAGGCTCTTGGCTTCCGACGAGAAAATGGTGGTGATTATTTTGTTGGTCCTGGAGTGGAAGAATTCTTTGAAGAAATTGTCAATAACAATCAGAGTGGTGCTCCTCCTGCCTCAAGATCTTCAATTGATGCCCTGCCTACGGTCAAGATATTGAAAAAGGATATTAGATCGGATTCCCACTGTCCTGTTTGCAAAGAGAAATTTGCACTAGGAACTCAGGCGATTAAATTGCCTTGCAAGCATTTATATCACTCAGATTGTATAGTTCCATGGTTACAACAGCGGAATTCATGTCCTGTTTGTAGACAGGAGCTGATACCTCAAAGATCTGGCAATGACCATTGTTCTCGAAGCTCCAGGAGTCAAAGTAGAAGCAGCAGTTGGCGATTAAGTGGTAGGGAGGACAGTTCTCAGAATCGAGAAAGGCGGAGGCCATGGTCGTTCCTCTGGCGTTTTGGCTCATCTCATTCTAGTTCCCCTAGTACTCCAGCTGCTGAAACCAGCTCACAGACCAGCCATCAATACAATCATTACTCGGGCTACTCTAACTGGCCATTTGAATAACAAGGTTTATCTTAAAGTAACCTGTTTTATTTTTTCACATTCTTTGTGATCATAATGTTCTGCCTCTGGTTGAACTTACTATTTCTCATTTTGGAAAAATAACGCCTTATGTATTTACATGCTTGTAATGTACATTTGAAGTTTTTCACGTGTTTCTAATGACTACCTCTTGGAAATAGCTACTTTCATCATTCCTGGCTTTGCTTTTCTTCTACATTCCATTTACATAGTATACCTTTTTCATATGCGGTAGTGGATTCTATGCTTTGTTTTGGGAGCAGGAGTGGCAAACGGGCAGGTTGGATATGGTTCGGGTCGAAAACGGGTAATGAAAAAACGGATAAATTATCCGACCCATATTTAATAAGGATAAAAACGGGTTAACCAGCGGATAGTATGGTAACCATATTATCCATGACTTCTTGCATATGATTACTTTTGGGAGAATTCTTAGTCTCCCTAACTTGAGGAACCACCAATTTGAGGTTTTACAAATGTAAAAGTTAGACCTATTGGTTATCCATTGGTTATCCATTTTCTAAATGGATAATATGGTTCAAAACATATTTAACCCGTTTTTAGAAAGTTCATTATCCAACCTATTTTTTACTGGTAATATGGGTGGTTAACTGTTTTCTTTTAATCGTTTTGCCACCCGTATTTGATAGTATAAAACATTGTTATTATGACGGTCCAAGCTTGTGCTCGAATTGATATGCTGCATTCGATATCTGTTGTACTTTATATCACTATGACTAGAAGAATGCGAATCCAACCTTTTCTTTAGCATGCATAAGCCTTACCTTACCCACTCCTTGCCTGATTTTATTAAAAAATGAGCATTTTACAAGGATCAAGAACTTCAGCTAACATATTTTCTATATCTGGGGTGGCATGACCGGAAGTAGGTAGAAATTGAGTCCTTGACATTATTCTTAGTTTATTTTGCAGTACGAATTTTCTCTTTAGACTTTCTCACTCCTTATCCTCTATGGACGGAAAAAATAAAGGTATTTGGAGGACAATTGAATTCTTGTTTTTATTTTTAAATACTGACCACCTCATTCAAAATACAAAAAGAAAAGAAATGAAATTCTTGAAACAAATAAAAGAAAAAGACAAAGAATAAAAAGACCTAAAAAACTATGCAGTATGACTTTATGCATGCACATGTCTGCATGTGAGTATCGCTGTGCTTTATATTACCTAATTTGATATGTTTTACATTATTAAAGCACGAGCAACAAGAAACAAGCTGACAACGGGTTCTATGATCATGCTCTTTCTGGTACAGGATAATGAATTAATTTAACAAGATTCTTTCTAGCTTCACAACACTACAATGTACAAACATGTGTATGCGCTACTTGTTTATTTGCAGTCTAACATGCAGCATGGATTAAGTGGAATTAAATTGGTTGGGTGACAAAGTTGTGTAATCATTTGTTTGTTTGCTCGTTTTCTATTATAAGCTTGTGATATAATTTTTTGATGCAGCAAGTAAGGAATTCCCAACAGATCATATGATTCTGGTTCTTGAAAATTCAATGGCAAAAGGTATCGTTTTATTCAGATATTGTACTAGGCATTCTTATTTCTTCTATAACAATCCAACCGGTTGTTTTGAGTTTTAGAACCTCGTTTCCTAATTTTAAATTGTCTCATAGATTCGTATTGTGATCCGGGACTTGCGGGCATTGGTGCTTCGGGCCTGGAATCACTCTGGAGCATTTTGGTACACCTGCATGCTAACTAAAACCTTAAAGTTTATTAAGTTGATTTTGGTCTTTGATTTGAGTTAATGCGTTTCGTTACATGATTTGACCATGGATACATTTGCATAGTATAATTGAACATGTATGAAAGTCAAATTAGGATCCCAGAGGCTCGGGCGTGTTTCAGCTCATATGGAATCAAAGTTGAAAGTGCAGATTTTTCTTGTGCAACATAGTGCATCGCGGTCGCGAGCACTGTGTCGTGATCGCACAGGGGAAATAGGTAAGTCGGGCCAATTGGCCTTCGCACTTATGGGGCCCTGCATCGCGATTGTGCAGGGCTTTGTGCCCACGCGGTTTGCCGTCGAGATGAGGAAATTCCCTCAAGTTTAAAATTCCTAATTTTGAGATTTTGAGCTCATTTAACATTTTTGAATTTCGGGAGCTCATATTAAGGCGATTTTGGTGGAGATTTTTACCTACACATTGAGGATAAGTATTCGACACTTGATTTTAATTATATTTCATGAATATCTATAGATTTTAACAACTAAATCATGAGATCAAAAGGTCCTAAAACCCCAAAAACCCCATGCGTCGGGACATAGAGAGAGAAGCTCTGGCGATTTTGGGTGATCATGAGGCGATTAGAGAGAGAAACTCTGTCCATGGCCACGCCGGCCACTGGCCAGCCTCTAATGGAGGCTGGTCAGTCGTCAAACAACTCTAAACATCTTCCCCAAATGTCTAACAACCCTACTTCAATCCCAAACTACACAAAACTCCTTCATCCCAAACATTAAATGCCCCCATGCATGTAAACATTGTTTACCTAAAGCCCGTCGTATCATAATGGAGAACCAATGGTGAGATGGAAGAAAGCTTAGGTTAAACAATCGATATTGCAACAAGGATTACACCTAGCAGTGCTGGGCAAATTTTCTAATGGAAAGCTAGTGATACACGAGTTGAGGAACGCTCTCCCAATTCACTGTGAATTAAAAGGCCCATGTTTAATATGCTTGATTGAGGATATGCATGTTTTGATCAAGCTGTCGTTAATTGAGGATTATATTCACTTGTTTTCCAAGCCAACTTTATTTGAAGGTTCAAGGTGATTTATGGTAGATGAGATGCACTAACTGGAGCCCATGGTGGAAACCTGACGAGCGAAATCCCATTGCAATTGCGTGGATTTCATTTCAGGATCTTCCTCCCAACTTTTTTTGGTAAAGAGTTTGTGTTCTCATTAGCTAATGCAGTAGTTAGGCCTCTTCATGTTGATTTGGCCACACAAAATGGAACAAGACCAAGTTGTGCTAAGGTAAAAATTGAAGTTAATTTACTAGCCACATTGCCTCAAAGAATCAAAATTTTTGAAGAAGAAGATGAGACAGGTCCTGATGAGTCGAAATGGATCAAAATTAAGTACGATTACATGCCTAAATACTGTAAGAGATGTAAGAAACAAGGACATAATGAGAGTGAATGTTGGGTTATTCATCCAGAGTTACATAAATTTTTTAATAAGGAAGGTGATGATTAAGGCTAGGAGAAGGATATCGTTGTGCATAATGATTTAGTTGGTACAGTTGTTGCCTCTACAAAGATCCTAGCAAGTGGGAAAGAGCTGGGCAAACATGTAAAAATTGCTACAAAAATGAGTGGATACAAAGGAGAAAGAACAAATATCAAAAGGACAGTAGAGGGTACATTATTGACAATGTTGAGGATAATTCTACTAAGCCAACACATGAATACGAGGAGTCAAAAGGGAAGGAGTCGACTGGGAAGGGTGATACTACTGGGAAAGAAAAGCCTAATGATGTATTGATAATGAGTAACAAATTTGCCTTCAATAAAGGAAGGTGAGATTGAAGTTCAAAAAAAAATAAAGAAAGAGGTAGTGGAAAATGTGTTAAATAAGGAGCAAATTGAGGCAAATAACTCTACTCCTACTCCTACCGGGAAACATTTCCAAAAAGGCTTCAATTTAAATTCCGGCTAAAGAAATTCCTTTTCCTAATCCTACTGAAGCTGGGAATGATGAGGTGAATAAAAAGGAATCAACAATTGAGTGGGTTCATAGAAGATTTGGCATGAGCAAGGAGGAGTTTGGGGGAGATGAATGTTACAGTAACCAATCTTGCCAAGAAGTTCCATCGCAAACATATGAGGATTTCAAGGAGAATGGGGCAAATATGGAGGTCAGTTCTGGTACGGCTCTATGGAGTGATGAGGTTGAGATTATAGAGGCTGATACCAATACAAATTTGAACAAAAAAGAGCAAAGAAGAAAGGAACACCAAGCAAGAAAAACTTGCAGCATGTATGAGCCCTACATCTATAGTAAACCCTAGGGTTTTAAAATCTAAGGTTGAAGTTGGGGAAAACAAAAATCTTTCAAAAGACCTTAACGAGCGGAAAACAAAGCCTACAAAAAGCCCACAGGCCAAAACAGCGTAAGATCCATTGTCGCCAGCTAAGCAAGCCTACGGGCCACATATTAAAAGGTCTCTACGACCAAACAGCGTAAGAGCCATTGTCGCCAGCCAAAACAGACAACTTGAGATTAAAGTGAGCTCGAATTGTAACTCAATTCGGAGACCGGATCCAAAATAGTTAACTAAGCAAGCCTACGGGCCACATATTAAAAGGTCTCTACGACCAAACAGCGTAAGAGCCATTGTCGCCAGCCAAATTGACAACTTGAGGGTCAATTAAAGCTCGAATCGCAACGCGATACGGAGACTGGACCCGAAATAGTTAAACTACAACACGCCTAAGGGCATGACATAAAGGCCATTGTCAACCGGCCGAGCGAGCCTCCGGGCCGTGCGCCTACCAGGACACATCGGCCCGAAGCACAAAAGGTCATCATTGCCCGCCCATGCAGGCAGGGAAAAACTTCAGGGTCAATTAAAGCTCGAATTGCAACGCGACTCGGAGACTGGACCCAAAATAAGTTGAAACAACCGAACGCCCAAGGGCAAGAAATAAAAACCATCGTCGCCAACCCAGACGAACGCCAAACTCGAGGGTAAATTAAGCTCTTGTCTGGTCGCGACTCGGAGACTGAACTCGACGACAGTTATAGCATGCAAGCCTTAGGGCAAGTCCGGGGTCGAATCGATCCAATTGGAATTCCAACAAGCAGAAATATAGAAGATATAAGTTGTGGGGTTCCCCCGCTTATTGCTACATGCTGACGACGAGGCACAACCCCAACCTGCGTAGAATATTGAAAACTGTAAATACATAACAAAGAAGGCAGGGAATGATCATTCCGTTCTTTTTCAGCAGTCATAGCCCGATGGTCTCCTTTTCATCATCCTCAGCATCGGACAACAGGAATTCGGCATCATGCTCCTTTCCTTTGGCTAGCTCGATCTCCCCCGAGAGATCAAAGCCCTTGGCATGAATCTCCTCAAAGGTTTTCCTCCGGGATCTGCACCTCACGTACTCTTTGCTATTTT